AAAGTGTTTTGAGAAAGTTAGCCAAAGCCTTACAAAAAAATGGCCAGAAGAGCTTCACTAGACAATGCTCATTAATTTCATTAGAGTTTTGATAGAAAAAATTAGGCATCTACTTTATAACCCTGATTTGGCTCTTTCTGACTTCTTTTTGTTTTCTGATCTTAAAAAAATCTTAGGCTCAGCGCCCTTAGCTCAGTGAGTAGGGTGCTAGCCACATACACTGAGGCTGGCAGGTTCAAGCCTGGCCCGGCCCTGCTAAACAACAACAACTGCAATAAAAAAATAGTCAGGTGTTGTGGTGAGCGCCTGTAGTCCTAGCTACTTGGGAGGCTGAGGCAGGAGAATCGCTTGAACCCAAGAGTTTGACATTGCTGTGACGCCAGGGCACTCTAGTGAGGGCAACAAAGTAAAACTGTCTCAAAAACAAACAAACAAACAAACAAACGTCTTACCATATTTTCGGAAAGGGTAGAGTAGGGTGGACTACTGTATTTGAACAACCAGTTCCTCACTTCAGTGTCACCCTCTCAGCAGGGCCTTCCCTGCCATGCCATCTACAACTGCAAACTGCTCCTCCCTGTCCCACTTCTCTGCTTTATTCTTCTCTGAAGGGCTCAGGACCTAACATACTCCTCCATATTTTAAATATTTTCCAAATTACACCACTAAAATCAGGGCCAATACCAAGGGGGAGGTTGATATAAAAGTAGGAGCCTAGAGAAGTGGAGGTGGCTCAGGCCCATCTGCAGCCCAGCATCTCCCACAGAGCCCAAGCCTGCTGTGTGGCCTGAGGTCGACTGGGAGCTCTGCGAGGGGGGCAGTTTGGGTCTATTTGGTTCACTGCCATACTCCCAGTGCCTAGAACAGTATCTGAGACATATCCGTGCTGCTAAATAAAGACTTGTTTAATAAACGAATAAAGGAAAGAAAAAACAAATACAGTCGTCCCTCAGTATCCAAGGGGAACTGGCTCCAGGACCCCCAGAATACCAAAATCTGTGGATGCTGAAGTCCCTATATGAAAGGACAGTGTTTGCATATCAGCGAGGCACATCCTCCCATCTCCTATAAATCACCTCCAGGTTACTTAGACCATCTAATGCAAGGCCTACACAGGTCCTTCGTGTGGATTCAGTGGAGCACCCAGTGCGCAGCACATTCAAGCTTTACTTTTTAAAAGTTTGTAGAATTTTTCCCCCAGATATTTTTGATCATGGTTGGTTGAATCAACTGATGCAAAACCCATGGAGATCCCATTCCTTTTTCTTTCTTTTTTTTTTCTTTTTGAGATAGAGTCTTACTGTGTTGTCCTCAGTAGAGTGCTGTTGCATCACAGCTCACAGCAACCTCTTGGACTTAAGGGATTCCCTTGCCTCAGCCTCCCAAGAAGCTGGGACTACAGGCGCCCACCACAACACTCGGCCATTTTTTGGTTAGAGTTGTCATGCTGGGCTTGAACCTACCAGCTCCAGTGTATGTGGCTGGAGCCCTAGCCACTTGAGCTACAGGTGCTGAGCCAGAGATCCCATTCTATCTCCATCATCCAGAGCAGGTCTGGGTCTACTAACTGCACTTGCTTCTAGGGCAGGAAAACAAAAGTCTCCCTAGCAAGGCTCCACACTGGATAGTGTGGTGTTCCTACCTGCCCTTCTTCCAGCAGAAAAGGTCTCCTGGCAAAAATGCCTACAGAGAAATCACCATCACTGAGCCTTCCCCATAGGGACACCACTGCAGTCACCTACTGGAGACAGTGAAGCAACTGGAGAGCCACCAAGATGCTCAGCCCATCCCTCCAGTAGAGTTGAATTAAGAGGGGCTTTCACCACCTGACATTCAAAACAGCTGCTTGGTGTAGCTGTTTAGAAATATTTCATCCTGGAGGGTGGGAGAACTCAAGACTGTAATCCTAACAGGCCAAGGTGAGAGGATCACTTGAGGTCAAGACTTTGAAAACTAGGGTGGCACCTGTGGCTCAAGGAGTAGAGTGCCGGCCCCATATACCAGAGGTGGTGGGTTCAAGCTCAGCCCCGGCCAAAACTACAAAAGATAAAAATATTTCATGCTTTCAAGGTTCATTTAAAAAAAACAAACCATCAGGGGTGGGAAGGATAAACAACACACCTGACATCTTTTTCTAAATATCATGCTATTTAAGTAGTTGCTTGCCAGGACTTTCAAGAAATTTAATATTGCATTTTTTGCTGAGGTATCTCTCTTATTCTTCTACTAATTTTCTTTTCTTTTCTTTTTTTTTTGAACAGAGTCTTCACTCTGTCACCCAAGCTAGAGTATGAAGGCATCAGCCTTGCTCCCAGCAACCTCAAACTCTTGGGCTCAAGCAATCCTCCTGCCTCAGCCTTCCCAGTAGCTAGGCAGAGCGG